GCGCGGAGAATGGGCTCTGGCGATGGGCCAAGAAAAGGGGACCACGGTGGATTTTTTTTGGGGAGATGGGGGAATCATGGAGAAATACCGTGGAAACAATGGAGAAAGATATATATAATATATCTATATATATATTATATTATATATCTATATATATAATATTATATTATATTATATATATTATATATTATATATATATCAAAATAATGGATTATAATATATTATAATGTGATAGGCAAGTTTTGTGTTTCATCACGTTTTGGAAGTTTTGGTGCTCTGCACGCCCCATCCGCTCAGTTCCCATGAAACAATGTTTACAGTTAGTGGGCTATTCAAGAAAAACATCATATATAAATAGTATAACATGATCATGTATATATGATATGTATATATATATGTTCTATATGTATAATATTGTACATATAATATATTATATAGGTATATGTATAATATGTAAACAAAGAGAGACAACCCATTCACCAATCCATTCACCAAGCTTTACTCCATTGGCGCCTCAAAGGTTCATTGTTTTCCCCTTGCTTCTCGTAGAGGCCTTCGTCTTCTCCCAGCCTCACAAGCCGGAACCCAGGTTGCCGATTCACAGGTCCTGTCCACCACTTCGTTTTTGTTCCAACAGACTCAAAAGACTTTTACAGGCCGAAACAACATATCTGTTTTCGTTGGTTTTCATGGTTTTCATGTCACTCTTGTTCACCTAAAGGTAGCGTTTTTCTTTCGCGCGGCTCCGCCTCCACTCGGCGCAGGTGTTCTGCACCAGTAAACTGCCATCGAAGGGCCTGGGTACTTGGAGGGTTTGGGTTTTTCAAAGCTAACATCTGGAATGGTTTATACATATGTATACCATCTATTTATGGTGATTTGGGGGATGGTTTGTTATTGTTCATTAATCATCAACATCTGGATCTTCAAAACAATCAGCATCATTGTGTTGGAAAACTCCATTTCTAGCTCCAACTGGCTCCTTGAGTAGGGAACAACAAAAACACCCATAGCTCTGGTTCCGCCCTAAGCACTGGAGAAAGAATCATTTACCCATTAGAAACCTGGATTATATTGGACTGAAATCTAGGGATATGCACTGGGAATAGGACTAATCCTGTCAGTCCTGTCATCCATCTGGCCACATTTGGGGCTTTACCTTTTGCCATTGGTATACCAGTGGTTTCCCATGCGGTGAGAACGCCCCTTCCCCATGTATTCCCACGGATCATGTCGTTACCCAAACGTGACTTGGTCCATCAAGTCACGCGCGTTCGAAAGAAAATCGGACGGACAAGAGGAATTGATTTTTTATCGATCACTCTTAGAAATTCATAAATTGTCATAATTCAATAGAATTATAATAGAATCAATAAAAGGCACTTAATTATATCCATCTGGGTAAATTATAATAATTCACTAACCTGAATCTTGCGGCCACTCATCTTCCCTTTCCCGGCCCATGCCCTGCCCAAACCTGAATCTTGTGGCCATGAATGGGGATGATTTCCCGAATCCTAACCATGATTCCAGGGCTCGGTCACAGTGAGGTCGTGATGAAATTTATCCAGATCCATGATGTTTGTTGGTTTATAAACCCCATGAATACTATAGTTATATCTACTATAAACCATGGTTAAGCCACTTAATATCACTTAATTATATATCCATTAATATATCCTCATCATGCTTATCCCATGATCCCCCGATCCCAACCTGTTGATGAAGAAACTGCCGCACACGGCATCTCCTCGCCGGAGGACCTCAGGGGCGCGTCGCTTTCGCGCGTTGCGCTGGCGCATTCTCCGCCGGAGAATCTTCTCAAGATAGAGGGGTACCGGAAAATTTGAAGAGTGAACGAAGTTTTTATGTTCAGATTTTTCGGATTTGGATCATTAAATATCAATGATATTGATATTCAATAATCATTGTCCCCATTGAAATATTTTTTTGAGGTATATTGGGATGCCAAAAGCTTCATACTCTCTGGCAATGTTACCATGGACTATGGAACACAAGGTGCTGCCCCCCAGTTATATTTGTTGGTTCATAAACCCATGAACATCCATTAACTATAGATACATCTACCATAAGTATCCATACAGTAAGTCCTAGTCATTAGAATTCTTAACCAGCTTGGCTATCTTGGGGGCACCACTTTGCATATCCAATTCTTGAGTTTGGTCCTTTAAAAAACGAGTATATAAACGAGTAAACGATGTGAATTGCGATCATCCCAGGTTGAATTTAGTAAATCCCAAACCACTTACCATAAATGAGTACGTATAAACAAAAAAGGCTGGTTTAGTATTGGGTGATTTTAAATCATTGGGATAATATAAATGATTTAAATTTAAATCACCAAAACAGATGGTTTAAAGGATGTGTTTTTTTCACTGGATTCCAATGCCAGCCTCACAAGATCAACTCGTCACGAATCTTCGAGGGAATTCACCTAATTTGCGTCAAGCATTAAGCATGGAAAGTAATGGGTAAAACCCCACCAGTGTGGAAAGAGCAGCCTGATTTCTTGAGATAAAAGGGGAAGATGAAGGCACAACTTGGATCTTTGGGCCGCAAGATGCCGCAAGGAATAGAAATCACCGTTGTACCGGCAAAATTCCATTGAGCGCTGGCATATTACATGGCTATGTTTCTATTACCCCCTGGTAAACATACAAAAAACTGATGGGAAAATCACCATTTTTCATGGGAAAACTCACGAAATAAATGGTGATTTTCCATAATTATTTTGACATAATCAGAGGGTATCCATCTGCAGATGCAGCCCACCTGGTACCTCAGCAGGCCCCAGGATGTTCTTCCGATGAAACGTGAACCAAGGATTGAAGTAGTGTCGTTAATATGTTCATATGTGCTAGTAACTGCTAGCAACATCCTCATGTACCTGGTTTTCTGTTGAGTACTTGAACCATCCGAAGTCGATATCGGAAATCCCTGCATTTTCCCCCGAATTCGCATTTTCCAGTGAACTCAACAATTCCACTCGACCTGGGACGAGAGTTGAATCCTCAATACCAGCATGACCAAATTTCACCCCATTAGATGGTAAAAGCACAGGGTTCTTTAAGCGTGTGCTATGGATCATTGGCCCATTTTTCTGTGTTACCTATGAAAAAATGGTGATGTTCCATCGCTATGTTGAATTACCAGAGGGTAAAACCGGACCAAGATCTGCGGTCTGCCAAAGGGCCAACCCCAAGCAACGGCACCATGTTTTTTTTTGTTGCGGTGCAACGGTCATCGCCGCCGTGAGCGTTCTGCCATTCTTTGATGTCAGGCAATACCTGCATATTTCTGGTAGTACAGCAAACTGACTGCCTCGTCAGTTGCCATGTTTCCAGATGACCTAGTCACTTGAAACCAGAACTTTAGACACTTTGAGTAGGTTTCACTTTATCTGTTTTCATCTAACCATTCGGAGGATATGTTATTTATTCATAATTGTATCACATCTAACCAGATCGTAAGCATAATCCATCTAGTGGTATAGATATAACTATAATCACTAGTGTTGGTTTTCCATCATCACATTACATAATAAGCATGTCAGAAGTATCTTTTCTCTATACATCTATCTATTATCTATGGTATTACATAGTACAGTAATAACCATAGTTAGATATTATACATTAACAAATAAACAATAGTTAGATACATTAGGCAAAGTATATATATAGGGTGGCTATGAATATGGACAATATATCTAACATTAATGATTGATAACAAATGATAACACACAATACTTATGGCTAGAGAAAACTAGATGATAGTTTCTGATAGTTATACACTATAGATTATATCCCGCTACTTTTTAGATAGATAATCACTAATATATATTAATATATCTAGTGGTTATAAATATTGGAAGATATATCTGTCCATATTATCAATCCTGTTCTAATCATTGAAATCATATCTTGTAACAACATCGTCTACCCACATCATAACCACATAATAGATCACATTAGATGTCGATTGTTAGATCTAATCATAATCACTAGTGTTGGTTTTCCACAATCATAGCGCGAGTATGATAGTTAGTAACTATGAACATATTCATCATGATAATTGACCATAAACTATGGATTATACTATAGTTAGATGCTTACTAAAATCACACTACGTTAGGCACTGTAGTTTTGATAAAACAACATACTTGCTAGTGCTGGTTTTCCATAATCATATCAAACACATGTGGATAAATGTGATATTAAATACTATAATAAAACATAACAAACCATAGTTGGATAGTTGGATACGGTAGAACTAACTCGGGTAGATAATGGGCACATACTATAGATACCATAGATACTTACACACTATAATTAGATATCTAACAATTCATCATAAACCATCATACAAACCATAGTAATACCATAGCTAGATACTATACATAACCAACCTAAAGGCCAGGTCTAATAATGACATAATATCTGACAATTATATACATATATATATATAGATAATCACTATGGGATAGTTAGATAGATATTCAAACTATAGTTAGATAGATCATCACATGTTCAAATGTTAAGCATTGTTAACCATAGATATCTAACAAACCATCACAAACCATCATCAACCATAGTAATACCATACTTAGATAATAATACCATAGATAATCACTATAGTCACTATAGATAATCCATCATAGACATCTAGGTAGTTAGATAACCATAGATAATCACATTAGATGTTAGATATACATTAGATAAACCATAGATAGTCACGTGACTAGATACAATGAACCATAGATAGTCACGTGACTAGATACCATAGATAGTCCCGTGACTAGATCATCCATCAAAAGTCACTATAGATAATCCATCACTATCCGGGTCTTAGATAGTCCATGGTCCATTCGATCATAGTTAAAACATTATAGTAGATGATAGTTAAAAAGTGTTATAAACCATAGATAATCACTATAGATAATCTATGGTTTATAACTATTATGATTATCTATGGTTAATAGA